ACCAGCTACTCCTCGGAAGGAAGGTTGGGCAATCTACTTCCATAGAGATACCACCTCGGAAACCCAAGGAGGGGTCACTATGAGTCGAAATCAACTCGATGGCAGGGAGTTTTTTTTTTGGTCATTTTGCAAATGACAAAACAGTAAGCACAGAGGTTACGTAGCTTGCTCAAAGCAGACAGTCTAGACGTGGGGGAATCAAGCGCGTGCTTCTTTGAAGCCCTTGCTTTGCCTGACGCACCGTCAGGTGGTCTCTCTGAGGGTGTGTGTAGTTAAAACATTCATTCGCTCATTCCACACTTACTTACTGAGCACCTACTGCTTGCCAGGCACTGTTTAGAGTTCTTGGGATACAGCCCTGAACAAAACGAAACTTCTTTCCTTCATGTACTTTTTTTTTTTTTTTTTAATCAGGGAGATAGACAATAAAGAAACAAACATAAACTAGTTCAGTTTTTTTTAAATATATATACTGAAAATTATAAAATCGTATCACAGCATTTAAACACTTAAGTAAATTGAGAAAGACTTACTGTTGATCACTGGAAACCATAGCTCAATTTTGACTAATGCTGTGAAGAAAAATAAAGTTGCATAAAGGGGATGAAGAGTGATGGTGGGGTGGCCTATTTTAGTCCTGGTGGTGCAGTGGTTAAAGTGCTCAGCTGCTAACTGAAAGGTCGGTGGTGAGAACCCACCAGCTACTCTGTGCAAGAAAGATGTGGCAGTCTGCTTCTGTAAACATTAAACCACGACTAGAAAAAACCACACTCACTGCCACTGAGTCAGATCCAACTCAAAGCAACCCCTCCTTGGGTTTCCTAAGGCAGTATCACTACGGAAGTAGATTGCCCAATCTTCTTTCTGTGGAGTAGCTGGTGGGTTTGAACCGCCAGCAGTCAGGTGCCTCAGGCACTACACACCGTAGTTCCCTCTGTAAGCGTTACAGTCTTGGAAACCCTATGTAGCAGTTCTATGCTGTAGTATAGGATCGCTATGAGTCGGAATTGACTGGACAGCAGTGGTAGACTGGGAAGACTTCTCAGAGGTGGTTATATTTGAGCTGAGATTTAAAAGAAAGGAAAGAGAGGAGCCAGGTGGCCAAATGGGGCAACAGGTCCCCCGGGGTGGGCTGGGGGGGACAGAGGTGGCAAGGCCCAGAGGCTGGAGCAGACCTGTCCTACTGGAGGGACAATGCTGGGGGGAGGCAGCAGTGGGGAGAGACGCGGAGGCTCAGAGAGGCAGAGGGCAGGCCCGCGAGCCTCCTGTGGCGACTCGGGGCAGGACGGTAGTGAGAGAGGAAGTGACGGTTGAGGAATGTGGACGTACTTTGAACACAGGACAGAAATAATTTACTAGATGGGGATGAGGTGTGCCAAAGGGGTGTCAGGAAAGGTACGGGGCTTTGGCAGGAGTCTGAAATGCGAGGTTGCCATCCCCTGAGCGGGAGAAGACTCCTGGAAGGAAGGATGTGCCACTCAAGCCGCCCTCTTCTCTTCTTCCGTCTTCTCCCTCCTCCTTCACTCCCTCTCTCCTTTTACCTCCCTTCTCCCCTCCACTCACTCCTTCTCTTTCCCCTTCCTTCCCCTCCCACTCTTTCCCCTTTCCTCTTTCTCCCCTCCCCTCCCCTCCTGCTCTCCCCGCTTCTCTCCTTCCCCTGCTTCTGGCCTGGGCAGGGCCCATGGGGCCTGGTGGGAGGCCGTACCTCTTGGTACCAGTACTTCACCAGGCGGATGAGGTTCTTGAGCTTGGTCGGACGCCGCTTCAGGAAGTCTCGCTGTAGCTCCGTGAAGCACGTGGAGAACTCACCTCCCGTGGAACACTCTTTGATGAGCCGGACGTAGATTTGGGGGTTAGGTTTGTAGTAACTAAACACGTGACCTGTTAGGGACAGAGCCATCACCTGAAGATGTCAGCTCTTCTCTGAGGTTCTTCCCATCTCTCTGAGGGGACAAACTCACTGGCTGTGGAATCCAGTGACAGGGGCAGCAGGCCCAGAGCCAACACATCTGAGGTCCAGTCCCCGACTCCTTTCTCCCATGTCCAATGCCACTGCCCTGCCCAAGCCACCATCACCTCCTCATTGGTTCCCCACAGCCTGTGGTCCACCTAGCCCCTGTGGGCTCTTTGAAAATCTGATCGCTCCTCTTCTTGCTTCCTGTCACATCTAGAATAAAATCTGAAGTCACCATGGTGGCCTACAACACCTGGTGTCACTGGGCCCCTGCTACTGACTTCAAGCCACTTCTATGCTGCTCCCATTTTGAGTCTGGAAGCTCTGATGAAACCGGTCCACCATGGGTGACCCTGCTGGTGTTTGAGGTACTGGTGGCATAGCCTCTAGTCTCACAGCAACATGCAGCCACCACAGTGCCACAAACTGACAAATGAGTGGTGGCCTGCATTTGTAGAAAGATAACGTTCACACACCTTGCCATATGTCAAACTGGTAAGCCTTGCAGATGTTGTATAAGAAATGTCTTTGTCCTCCCCTACCCCCTCACCAAGCCCCAAACTACCTGCTGTTAAGTCAGTTCTGACCCCAGGTGACCCCATGTGTATGAGCAGAACTATGTCCATATGCTCTTCGATGGCTATGAGCTTTTGGAGTTAGATTCCCAGGCCCTTGTTCCAAGAGTCCTTTGGGTGGATTCAAACTGCCAACCTTTCGGTTAGGAGCTCACCACTTAACCAAATGGTGTTAATTTGCCATGTAATGTGTCTCCCATGACTGATTAGGACCTTTTTCATTCTTGTCGCAGGAAAGATAACCTTGCACTCCACTTGGAAGGGGTACCCTGCTATGGTAAAGCTTTCATGTTGTATGAGATATGTTGCTCAGAAATAAACAGAAAAAATGAGTCACTGTCATAGGTCCAGGGCTGAGACCCCGTATGGCTGGTGGCACTTACCCAGAGCATCGTATGCAGGCAGCACGTCAAAATTGACCCACTCATTGACCTTGGGGGACATCAGACGGAAGCTGAGCACGCGGGGGTTTAGCCAGCGACTTAGCCAGTTACCGTGGATCTCAAATATCACTTCAAACTTTCTTTCTCTTTGACAGGCTTCCAACTGTCTTTTGATCTCCTTAATGAACATTCCTCGAAGATTTAGCTGTTCCTCAAAACTTTTCAGATTGTTGAGGAAGACGACCAGGTCGGCGTCTGACCGGCCTTTGAGGGCCGTGCCTTTGCCAGAGGAGCCTCCCTAGATAAAAGGATGAGACCAATCACTAACATTGTTGAGAGGAACCTCCCTAAACAAAATGACGAGAAGAATCCCTAACATGGTTAAGTGCTTTGCTGTTCTGAGGGCATGGAAGTCCTAACTCCTAAAAATCTGATAATGACTCTCTGATTTACATGTTATTATTAGTTCCCATTTTACAGATGGGGTAACAGATGCTTTGAGAGATTGTATGACCCGTCCAATCATGTAACTAGTGGTGGCAGAGAGAGGACTGACTGGGCGGCCTTGTTCCAGAGTCCATGTTCTTGTCCCTTGGGCTTTACTACCTTAGCTGAGTGTTTACACACGCTAACGAGATCAGGAATTATTATCACCATTTTCAAACCCAAACCAAACCTGATTTCAACTCATAGTGACCCCATTGGGTTTCCAAGGCTGTATGTCTTGACAGAAGCAGACTGCCTCATCTTTCTTCTGCAGAGCAGCTGGTGGGTTTGAACTACTGACCTTTTGGTTAGCAGCCAAAGGCTTTAACCACTACACCATTAGCGCTCCTTATCCCCACTTTATACAGAAGGAAATGGCAGCACAGAGAGGCTAAGTGATTTCCCAAGGCCTCCCAGCCAGTGGGTGCCATCTGCTTTCAAAAGTTACACCCCACCAGCCCAGGACACTGCAGGAATGGGGAGTCCCAGGCTCTAATTGCTGTTGTGGTTGTATGTTGCCATCAATGATTCTGACTCATAGCGTCTCCACGTGTGCAGAGCAGAGCTGCCCCTTAGGGCTTCAAGAGGCAGCTCGCCGGCCCTGTCTTCTGAGGAATCTCCGAAGGGTTTGAACCACTGACCTCTCTGCTAGTAGCCTAGAGCCTAACCGCACCACATAGGGACTCCATGGCCACTAATTAGCAAATTGTTTATCGGAGCTGGGCCTCAGTTTCCCTAGCTCTGAAATGGACATGGCCCAGGACAGTGTTTCATACCCTTCACCGGGGCACCTGTTAAAAATACAGGTGGAGGACCTCAGCCCAGGTTCCATCTTCTGCATGGATAAATCACCAGCCCCCAAGACCTCAGCCCTTCTTTCCACCTTTCACACCCCAGCGCAGTCTGCTGTGTTTCTCCACAGACACTCTTGCCCATTCAGCCACCCCTCCCCAAGTCCGGCAAGCCAGTGCTCACCTTGACGACCTTCGACACCCGCACAGGGTGGGACTCGTATCGGAAGCATCTCTCCTTTAGGAAACTGCAGATGATGTCAATGGCTCGTCTGACCTGCAGGCGGAAAGTTGTGTCCGGCAGGAGATGATCTTCAATGAACTTGTCCAGGTCCTTGGCCTGCATGTATCTGAGTTCGGGCATGATGTTTGGGTGGGGGGCAAAAGAGCCAGGGATGGGAGAGCTGACACCTGGGCTCTGTGAGCCCTTGATCTCCGCAAGCTGAACTTGGGCTCTGTTAGTTTCGTTTCCTGGGAAGGGCGGAGCTGTGCCGCTGGTGCTGGCCCCGCCCCTTAGCCAATCACACACTCAACGCTCCGAGAGGCTCCGCCTCTGACCAGAATCACAGCTGCCCAGGGGCACTCTCTCCTCTGCTCTGAAATGTCTTCTCCAATCTTTAACTATCAGCCTGTAACATGACGTCAGCTAAGAAAAACCGTCATTAAAAACAGGTTTTTCCTTCTTTGTCTCTGTGTGTGTGGCTGACAAAATTGCTGTATCGTTTTCTATGGTTTTTACAGCAATGTTGTTGTTGTTGTTATGTGCCGTCGAGTCGACTCATAGCGACCCCTCCTTGGGTTTCCGAGGCAGTATCACTACGGAAGTAGGATTGCCCAACCTTCCTTCCGAGGAGTGGCTGGTGGGTTTGAACCGCCAGCCTTCTGGTTAGCAGTTAAGTGCTTTAGCCACTATGCTACCAGAGCTCCTAATATGTGCATGTAAAACTCAAAAGCAAACCCGGCCATGGAGTCGATTCAGACTCATAGCAACCCCTATTGGGTTTTCAAGGCTGTAAATCTGTACAGGACCAGACTGTCTCAGCTTTCATCCATGGAGCAGCTGGTGGGTTTGAACCACCGACCTTCAGGTTAGCAGCCAAATGCCTAAACCACTGCACCACCAGAGCTCCTTTAAAAAGGCAATAGATCAACACATACAAATATGAACTATCTTCACCTGTCTCCTCCTAACCAGCTAGTCAATTAATTGGCACTCCTCCCTTCCTCCTTCAAACCTGGTGATTCACGTGCAAGCGAAGATGTAACTAGGAAGATACTGGCCGTTTCTCTCACCAGTTGGACTGTATGTTTGTCTAAGTTCTCCAGCATCTTTATGACAAGTGTGCTTGTGGTTGAAATGTATCCTTTTGATTACTTTTTACACATAGATCAGACATGAGCATTAAAGACCTGTCCTTAGGAAACTGACATTGAATTCTTTGGAAAGAATTCTTTATCTTTCCAAAGATAAAGGCAAAACTGCTTGAAACAATGCTTAGAATTAGTGAGACAACAGTGAAATGTCGAGGAAATCATTGTAAAAGTCCAGGATGATGGCCTTATTGCCTTTGTAGGTGGCTTCAAGTTCTTGTTCTTGAAAGAAACAGAAACAGGAAACTTATAGATGATCATTCTTGTGCAGTTCATGCAAGAAAGAGAATATGAGAGCATCTAATCAGGTGGCCGGGCCTCAGCAAAAAGTCCTGGTTTTTATTGGAGGGGGAGGTGAAGGCACTGGGGCTAGACCTCTGGGGTGGACCAGGAGTCCAGTGGTGCAAATGGTTTCAGAGAGACTAGTGGTTTGATTCCACCCTGAGGTGCCTCAGAAGAAAGGCCTGGTGATCTCCTTCTGAAAGATCAGCCACTGGAAACCTGGTGGAGCCCAGTTCTCCTTTGACACACACGGGATCCCGGTGTGTCGGAGCTGAGGGCAACTGGTTTGGTGGGCCAAGGTGTTTCTTGACAGTCAAGGTAAGGAATCGTGATACTCTGGTGTGTTTTTACCAAAGGTCAAGCTAACGCCCTGAGTGGGGAAGTGATTTGCTCAAGGTTCAGCCAAGCAAAACATGGAGATGATTCCTTGTGGTTCGTATGGTATTCTGACGTATTGTTTAATCTTACCCGGCCAACATCCCTAGCAAACTTGATTGGGCTGAGTGAGCAGGGGCTGACCCAGGGGGGTTTTAGAGTCCTGTTGAATCCCCGTGGATATATAACTGGGCCTGCTGCTTTCACTGAACGCCCAGCCCCTGGTCTCTCCTTTCCCCTGGCCTCCTCTTTGTCCATCCTGCTGGAAGATTGAACCTCTGTGTTTTAGTCTCGCCTCCAACTCCTGCTCAGAATGAACATCCGGAGCTGTTGAGTTTCTGCTGGCAACAGCTGGAGCCTCTGCTCGCCTCTGTGCCAGGACCTGGGAGACCTGTTGGCTGCCCCACCTGAGTCTCTCTCGCTCTCAGTCTCGCTGTCCTGTGTTTATCATCAACACCACTTCAGAGGCCTCTTTCCCTGACATGGCCACGTGAGGAAGCCCAAGTGTCAGGGGCCACCAGTGGAGGCAGCATTTAACTAGAAGGTATTAGAGGTGTCCCAAGGTGGCCAAAGGACTACTGAGAAACTGGTGGTTTGAATCTGCCCAGAGGCCACTCGGAAGGAAGGCCTGGAGAGCTACTGAAACATCAGCCGTTGAAAACCGTCTGCAGCACAGTTCTGCTCTGGCAAACATGGGGACTCCGTGAGTCGTAATCAATTCAATAGCAACTTTTTTTTTTTTTTTTTTTTTTAACTGCCAGGGACTCTCCCTCTATTAGCTCATTGAAATCTCTCAGTAACTCTGTGAAGCAGTTAGTCATGTCCTCACTGTTCAGACAAGGATGGACACTCAGGCTAAACAACTTGTATAAGATTCCACAGCCTGAACGTGACAAGAGTCAGGATCTGAATGCTGGACTGAATTGGTTAAAAAGCCATTGTGTTCCATGCAGGTGCTATCCCCCACACCATGTTGCCTCTTGCAAAGGGTTAATTTCAATGGGGAAACAAAAGCATACCATGCCAGGCAAGATGCACCAATCTTAATCTGTGCTTTTCCCATGTACACGAACATATCAGCCTGTTAGGCCTGTCCCCCAAGCCTGGGGAAGGAGACAAGTCGTTTTAGGGGTGGAAGTTCCATTTCTTTTTAACTTCCACCCATGACTGACCAGTGGTGGCTGCCTGCAACATTGTGTTGAGAAGGATTCAGAGGCTACTTCTTGGCTCTGTGGGAAAGATGCCGTATCGACTAGTGATGCCTGTCGTGAGCACAGGGAAAGATTAATGATGTCTGTCATGAGCACAGGAAGAACTGACATGTGTCTCCTGTCGTTCCCATGAAGCCTGTGTAACTAATTGTCCACCTGGTGGCAACTGGCTGAACTGTAGGAAAAACTGATATATTTTTTATTTTATTGTGCTTTTGGTGCAAATTTACAAAGCAGATTTGATTTACATTCAACAGTTCACGCACATTTGATTTCACTCCTCGATTACCATTCCCAACCACAAAAAACTCTCCTCCCCTCCCCTCCCTGTGACTACTCCTCCCTGTGCCCTTCTTGTCCAGTTCTGTCTGTCCAGCTTTCCCTTGTGTGAATGCTGCCCCTCTGATGTCTCATGGCTGATTGATCTAAGGGGTGCATCCCTAGAGTAGGTGAGGGCACCACACTGGGGTAGGTGTTCTGCATGTAGGTCTTTCCACTATTGAGCTGAGAGCCAATCCATGGGAGTGAGTCCATTTCTAGGCCCAAAGGGTAACGCGGGGCTATAGTCTTAGGGGCTACCCTAGTCTCTGACCAGTAATTCTGGTCATTTTTGTGTTTTTGAATTTTGTTCCACGGTTTTCCTCCCACTCTGTCCAGGATCTTCAGTTTTGATCCCTTTCCAAATGGTTAGCATTGGTAGCCAGGCACCATCTAGTTCTTCTGGCCTCAGGGTCATGAAGGCTGAGGTCTTTGTGGTCCATCTTATCCTTGGACTAATTGCTTCCAGATGCCTTTGATTTTCTTCACTCTTCTTTGATTCATTGTGTGAATGCACCACCATTTGATTATCCATTCATCTGTTGACGGGCTGATCACTTTTTGTTGTCACTTGCATTGAGTCAGCTCCACCTCATGGTGACCTTAAGTATAACAGAACGAAATGCTGCTCAGCCCTGCACCACCCTTGTGACAGTCACGTCTGAGCCCTTAGAGCTGTTGTGGCGATCCATCTCAGGTCTCCCTCCTTTTGGCTGGCCCTCTACCCTACCAACCAGGATGTCCTTTTCTGGTGATGGCCTTTCCTGATGACATGTGTACTCTAAATGAGACAGAGTCTCACCATTCTCGCTTCTAAGGAGCACTCCTTAGTGTATTGCTCCTAAGATCGACTGGTTCCTTCTGGCAATGCATGGTATACCCAATACTCTTTGCAAACACCGTCATTCAAATGTATCAACTCTTCTTCAGTCCTCCTTTTTCACTGTCCACCTTTCCCAAACACATGAGGTGACTAAAAATGCCACTGTGGGTCAGTGGCACCTCAGTCCTCAACATGCCATCTACTTTTAGGGCAGTGTTTTTCAAAGCCATGAATGAATAGGGGTGGGGAGCACAAGGCATCTACCAGGAAGTGCTTTCAAATATTTTTAAACGCACATCTTGTCTCCAGGGCACAGCTGAATCTGGGTAGTTTGAAAAAGTCTCTCCAGGTGATACCAACTTCTGTTTCCAGTGCTGAGAACCAACCTCTGGGGACAAGAAAAAAGACACTGTCTCGACTTGACCTGGAAGAGTGTTTTCAGTGGGATGCAATTTGCATTCCTTCTGGGAAGTAACCAATAGTTTTGATAAGTTGCTTAAGTACTTTGGGGCCAGCTGCTTGCTAACCACTGACCACCTGAGTAGGTGTGTGTCCTGGTGGGGAAAACCTTCTAGAAAACCGAAAGAAGAACACAGACCACAGCTGTTCTGGATAGTCCTACTTTATTTGTGGCTACATCATGACAAAGAGAGGCATTGCCAGCTCTGCATGCACCGGAGGGTGGGGACCCGAGGCAGGGAAGGGGTTACGTTAGTCGTTAGTTGGGAGAACGCGCCCTGCTAGGGCACCGAGAGCTTGCTGCATGCTCATTCCGGCGCCGACACTGCGTCAGGCTTGGGCGACACAGCCAGCATGCTTTCTCCTAGGGGAAAACCGCGAAAAGGAGGTGGGCTGAGGGCGAGGGTCAGAGGGGCCTCATGGGGAGAGAAAGGGTCCAAGAGGAAGATGGTGGCTGGGAGGCTGTTGGCCACCTTGGGGGAAGGGGAAGAGCTTCATCTTTAGAAAAACGGTTATTCAAGGCAAGAAAATGAGTGTCTTCCAGTGAACCAGTGACTTGTGCAAGGAGCTGGGTGGAGGGCATTGAAAGGCTAAACCACAGGAGACTGGCAGAAGTCAGAGCTTTACTCTCAGTCTGATGAGTTTTATAGAGAATGGTGGTGGCCTGCACATAGTGGGATGGTTTTCAGAGCAGAAGACTTGATGGGACTTGGGAAAACCATCTTTCTCACTGCCCTCCAACTTATAATGCTGGTCCTTATTGCCGATTCCTCTTTTTTTTTTTTTTGAGGAAGACGATGGAATGCTTCATGGTGGAACAAAAGCCTTTGGTGTCAGGATCTGCCACTCTTTAAAGTTTTATACCCATGGTGTTTGCTTCTCCCAACAACTTGGTAAAGAGAGTGTTAGAGACAGAAATAAGACAGAGACTAAGAGGGAGGCTGGGCTCCGAGTAAGACGCAAGGTCTGAGACAGTCAAAGAAACAGTCAAAGGGAGGGGGGTGAGAGTTTGTTCATCTAACTGAGTGGAGGAAGGATGGGGCCTTGGAGGAGCCCCTGGGGACAGAGCTCTGGAGTCTTCAAGGTGCCCCGTGTCCACTTGGGGAGGCTGGGCTGAGCACGCCCCTCTGTGCAGGCACCTACGTCACTCTGGGGAGGCCACCCCGCAGCTGGGCAGTGCCCGCAGCTGGCCCAGGGCCCAAGGGGCTCAGACTCTGCCCCAGGAGGAGGGGGTGGTTGGAAGAAACACAAGTACAGGGGGACTTTGGGCTTTTGCCAGATTCTCAGCATCTGTGATTAGTGTGGTGATAGGCGGTGAGGGCATGAGGCTGTGTTAAGATACACTTTGTCTTGTTTTTTTTGCTAGTATCCTCCCTTAGGAGGAAAAAGGAGGGGGAAGAAGTGGGAGGAGGAGGAGAAGGGGGAGTAGGAGGGGGAGGAGGGGGAGGAGGGGAGAGAGAAGGCGAAGGTGATAGAAAACAAGTGATTGTTGTTGTTGTTCTTGTTTTGCAAGGAAGCAAACAGGTGACCTCTTAAAAGGTGGTGAGAGGGCTGTTTTGCATACTCTATGTCCCTTTCTTGATGCGTTTGGCACCAGGAGGTGGGTTCCTAATCACTGGGTGGTTGAAACGCTGTGGTTTCTGGCCATTGGAGGCTGTGTTTTGGAGGACCCAGTCCCTGGGTTATGCGAACAGTTAATGCATTCGGCTGCTAACGGAAGGTTGGAGGTCTGGGTTCACTCAGGGGTGCCTTGGAAGAAAGGTCTGGCAAACTAGTTCCCCCCAAATCAGCCACTGACAATCCTATGGAGTGCGGTTCTGCTCTGACCCACTTGGGGTCTCCACGAGTCAGAGTCCACTCACAGCAGTTGTGTTGTTGATGTTTGGGAGCTCATCCTCACAGCCCTGTCTGTGCGCTCTCATAATTGAGGACAGACATGGACACGACATAGGAAACTAAGGGGGCGTGTGTATGTGTGTGTGTGTGTGTGTGTGTGTGTGTGTTCAAGGTCAGGAGGGTCAAAAAAGTGTTGCAGAGAACCTCTGTGACTGATCCTAACTAAAAGGTTACTGAATGAACACGTTCCATGTAAAGATCTCCCACCATCACTGGTGCACCCTGAAGGGACTAGGCAGGGGTGGGGACTGCTCACAGAGCCTGCATCCCCGATCAGGGTGAGGACACGGTCTTTGGCAGCCGTGCCAAGGTGAGGGGAGACCTGCCAGGCAGGCTCTGGGAGGCTGGAGGGAATGTGGGGGAGGTAGGCATAGAGGGGAGAGACCAGAGTGCAGTGGGCAGCTGGGGCGGGCTGGAGGGGGGCCTGGAGTCGGGGACCTGGGCACCACCCTAATCGCTCGACACGTGGTTCTCATTCTGCAGTTGGTGCCAGCGCTCGATTTTCTTGTCCTTGTTTTTCAGACACTCGTACCAGTGTTTTAAGCGTTCTCCCTTGGCTGAGACCCCCAGCTGGCAGCCACCTGGAGGACAAGGCGGAGAGAGGGCCGGGGTCAGAACCACACATGTGTGAGACTCTCACTCTGACACAAATGTCTCGCTGGGGAAAAGTGCCACCATGCAGCGACCCCCTTGGTGACGTGGGGGTATGCAGACACACATAAATGAGTATAAATGATTCTCTGTGGAGGACTATGGTCACTGTCATTCCTATACTGTGGGCCTGTCCGCCTACTCACCTGCAATAGCTCCTACTGCCATACCAAGTCATAACTTCACTGTTCGTTTTTTAAGACTTTCTACCAATTGAAATCACTGCCTTCAAGTTGATTCCAAATTACAGTGACTCTCAGTGGGTTTCCAAGGCTGTAAATCTATGTGGAAGTAGACTGCCCCATCTTTCTTGCATGGAGGGCTGATAGATTTGAACCACATCATCATGCTTACGTAAGGCACTCTGGAGGCACTGTAGTTAAGGCATTGGGCTGCTAACCAAAAGGTCTGTGGTTTGAACCCACCAGCTGCTCTGCGGGAGAATGATAAGGGAGTCGCTTCCATAAAGGTTGACATCCTTGCAAACTCTGTGGGGTTGCTATGGACTCATAGCAATTGACTCAATTCAACTCATAGAATTGAATCCATAGCAGTGGGTTTTTGGTTTACCAATTGAAAAGGGGCTCTGGTGCTGCAACAGTTAAGCACTTGGATGCTAACGAAAGGTTGGAGGTTCAAACCCACCCAGTGGCTCTGTGGGAAAAAAGCCTGGTGATCTGCTCCTGTGAGGATTACAGCCTCCTTCAGGGCAGTTCTACTCAGTCTCATGGGTCACTGTGAGTCCACATGAACTCAATGGCACCCAACAACAACCATCACTAACCAAAACCCTCAATGAGATGGATTGATCCAACAGGCACAACAATGGAGTCAAACATACCAATAGTCATGAAGACTGCATCGGTGCAGGTAGGGCTGGGGCTGGGGCAAGGGCAAGGGCAAGGGCTAGGGTTAGGGCTAGAGTTAGGTTTTGTTCTTTTATGCATGAGATCGTCATGAGTTGGCACTGTCTTTCCAGCAACAAACAAATGCCCCTAACCACCACCCCATTGGCTCAAACGTGTCTCCCACTGCTTCCCGACACTCACCAGCTGTCTGCTGGGCCAGCTTCATTGCCCTGCTCCGTCCTGCTGCTACTGCTTTGCGCAGGCTCTGGCCTCTGCCTGGAGCCCCCTCCCCCTTCTATCTTTCCTTATTCTTCTTCCTCATCATTTAGAGGAGGACTAGGAAAACGAAGACCTCCACCCAGACTTGAAAGTTGACTCAGGAGCCCTCCTTTGCCCCCTCCCTTCTGCAGAGACCAGAGCCCCACTCGCCTGTGATTTAATTGCAGGCACACCTTGGAGATATTGTGGGTTTGGTTCCAGACCACTGCAATAAAGTGAGTATTGCAATAAAGCGAGTCCTACAATATTTTTTGGTTTCCCAGTGCCTATCAAAGATATGTTGACTCTATAGTGTAGTCTATTAAGTGTGCAACAGCTTGATGAAAAAGTTTGTAATATCAAGAGAATGACCAAAATGTGACACAGACACATGAACTGAGCACCTGCTACTGGAAGAACGGTGCAGAGACTTGCTGGATGTAGGATGGCCACAAACCATCATTATGTAAGAAATGCAGTACTTGCGAAGCACAATCAAGTCAAGTGCAATAAACGATGTATGCCTGCATTCCACTGGAGGCAATCTGTTCAGCAAAGAACCTCCTCAGCTGTGAAAGCCTTTGCATACGAAGGCATTTCCAACTGGACCCACAACACAACTCTGGGTCGCACTTGGCGTCTGGACACCATGGTTGCTGAGGGGGAGGAAGGAGTGACCCGAGCCCTCGGCAGCCCAGCTCAGTCTCTTCCTTCCTGGCAAGGACAAGGAGTGGTTTTCTCTGAAGTTAGGGGCACTCACCAATGTAGTCATTGGACTTGCCAATGTCATAGTCCCAGACTGAGATGTCCAGGGACTTCTTCGCCAGGTCACTGTGTTTGATGTCATAGAAAAACTCCTGTAAGCAACAGAGGGAGATGCATGAGTGACAGGGACCCTGAGCTAAAAGGGTTCAGGGGCCATGAGGAGCCCCTTGAACTAAGAATTCTGGGAGCAAGGGGGCCTTATGCTCCAAGCTTCTACGCCAGGCCCAGCCATTCCCTTTCAACACACAGTCAGTGTAACAAAGCCCCTCAAAGCCTGCAATCGTCTTCTCGGAGGGCTCTCCATCTGAAGATGGGGAAGGCCAGTGGAGTTGTGTTAATAGAGCTGGTCCTGGTGAAGCCCCTGGAAGGCAGATGACCGTGGACCCTCCTTCCACCCTGGTAGCTTCTGAAGTGGGTTCCTCCCTGTCTGCATGGATGCAGGAGTGTGGGGAGGGGAGAGGACGGAGTCTGCCAGGTGGGGTCACCTTCACGAGACTGACACCGCTCCCAGGATCTCTGCTTATGGCCCCAGACATCTGAGTTTTAAACATAACGCTGCTTCATGAAAGCATGCTCCTTGTGCAAACTAACACCGAAGTTTGTAATCCAACTACGCAAGGATGAGCACTGTCGGCCCTCCCGGTGTGTGTGTCCCCCTGCGGTGCTGCTGTGAGTCGGCCCCAACCCTCGGTGACCCCACCTGTGCAGAGAAGAACCGCATCCGTGAGGGTTTCAGGGCTGGACCTTTCAGAAGCAGACTGCCAGGCCTACAGAGATGCATGTTTTTTAAAAATAAAACAACACTGAACACTTATAACGTGGTAAAAACCAGCTTCCCATGCAGCAAATATTTGTCTGCATCACCACTGTCACGGCTGGATTTCATGGCTGATCCCTGAGTGCTGGGTAAGCAAGTTGTTTTCCATGTTTCACTATCATCAATGGTGCTATAAAAGGCATCCTTGCAGCTAAGTCATTGGGCACACCCACCAGGATTTATTTCGATAAATCCTGAGAGGTGAATGACTGAGTCTGTAACACTGTAAGATGGAGAAAGTGGGTGTGGGCTGTGGTACCATCTGTAGACAGTGCAAAAGCGGATAAATGCATACTTTGCTTTAACCAGTTGCCTTGACATTGACCCTGACTCACGGTAACCCCACGGTGTCAGAGTAGCACTGTGCCCCACGGAGGGTGGGTTGTTTTTTCTCAATTTCCTTCTTTTCCCATATTTTCTTCTACCCTCTAGTTAGTGGTTAGGAGCTCTGGTGGCGTAGCGCCTAAGCATTTGACTGCTAACCAGAAGGCTGGCGGTTCAAACCCACCAGCCACTCCATAGAAGGAAGACTGGGCAATCTACTTCCGTAGAGATACTGCCTCGGAAACCCAAGGAGGGGTTGCTATGGGTCGGATCCGACTCGACGGCAGTGAGTTTTGTTTGGTTTGGTTTTTTAGTTAGTGATTTATCTTCCCTCACCGCCCCCCGCCCCAGTATCCATCAAATAATATTTCATTTTTTATGAAACTCTTTCCTTGACTTTTCACAATAGCGGCTCATACAGACATAACATGGATGAGCTCAGAGGTCGTTATGCTGGGTGAAGTCAGCCAGTCCACAGGGCTTTTGAGGGCCATTTTTTGGAAGCTGATCACCAGGCCCTTCTTCCAGCATGCCTCTGGGTAGACTTGAACCTCTAACCTTTCGGTCAGCAGCCAAGTATGTTAACCATCTACATACCTCCCCCCCCATGGCTCCACATTTGCTTTGTGTACGTGTCAGCCCCAGACATGGATAATGTTGCTCTTAGAAGAAGAGGAGAAGTTGGCTGGGAGCTGGAATAGCAGGGTGGAGGATTTTGGACTAGACACCCATATTTGTACTTCTTAAATTTTGAAATAAATGACTACCTCTTTCAGAAATAAATAGAGATTTCAAAAGTGATGAGGCTTTTGACATATCCTGACACAGGTCTGTTCAGTGCATTCTACTCTCCCCCAGTAGCGTGTGTGTGTCCCCACACACTCACCAACTGGCAACCAACAGTTAAAGACATTTTTGTGCCAGTGTGGTATGCAGCATGGGGTCTGGCCTTGGCTTATATTTTCCTTATTTGCTAACAAGTTACCATCATTATATGTCTGGGTCCTTTGGATTGATTTATTATTTTGTGATTTGTTCAGACTCCAGAAGGGGGCAGGGCAGGGCAGCAGGAACTGGCTTCTAGGGAACAGGCTGGGCTAACTGGTGGGGCAGCTTCTCCAGGCTCTGTCTGTTGACACACTCCATTCTCCACACGTGTGACTGCTAGAGGTGGTGGTGTTAGCTGCCATAGGTCAACTTCAACTCAAGGTGACCTCACATCCACCAGAGTGAAATGCCGCGGTCCTGGGCCACCTCCAAGACTGTAGCCCGTATCAGACAATGTTGTCACCTGTAGGTTTTCATTGGCTCATTTTTCTTTTGTTTGTTTGTTTCCAATTTAACCCAGGAGACATTTTATTATTTAAAACATATTTGTGAAAAAAATATGGTGGTTTTTTTTTTTTTTTTTTTTTTTTTTTTTAGCATCAAACTACCATTCTCTATTAGGCACTGTTGTTGCTGTTTGAATTAACTGTAGGACTTTTGCTGGGTGACTTTCCCATAAGCAGACTTCTTTTCTTTCCTTTTTTTTTTTTTTTTAATTATGATTTGAGTCAGTTTACAGAGCAAATTCATTTTCCTTTCAACTGTTCATACACATTTTGCTTCATGCCATTGACTGCAATCCCCGTGACGTAACAGCTGTCTTCCCACTTCCTCCGTGTGGTCACCTTTTCCCGGTGTCCTTCTTTCCTATGCGCTCCTGCCCCCTGAGCTGACTCCCTGTGTGAATGCTGACCTTCTGATCTCCATGGTTGACTGCTCTAGGAGGGCACTTACTCAGTGGCTCCGTTTTAGAAGGTACCTCACCAGGCCTTTCCTCCCAGTTTGTCTCAGTCAGCAGGCTCCACTGAAACCACCGTGGGTGACCCAGCTGGTATTTGAAACACCAATGGCATAGCTTCCAGCCTCACAGCAACACCCAAGCCACCGCAGTCCAACAAACTGACAGACGGGTGATAGTGGTTTAGATCAGAACTCATATGTCTTTCCACTCTTTCTTCCATTCAGTCCTGTTAATTCAACAGATATTGATGGACTCCCACTATCTGACTTGTTGCCAATGGATGAGAAGTCCAGAGGGACAGCACCAGATGAAAGAGGCACAAAGAATGGGCTAGAACTAGCTATAGGAGGTGACACTTAAAGGTGGGTCTTCAGGGTGACTAGGAGTTTGCCAGAGAGGAAAAGGAGGGACGTCCAGGACAAGAGGCCATGTGCAAAGGCTGAGAGGTATACCAGAGACCTGCGTGGAGTTTAGAATGATGTGAGCATGGGGTGTCTGAGATGGCTGTGGGTGGGAGGTGAGTTAGAAAGGGCTTGACTGTCAGGCTAAGAAGTTAGGGAGCCATGGTTGGGTTATTTAGCAAAAGGCGAGACAAATTCAGGTTTGTGTTTTAGAAAACTCACTCTTATATGGAGGGTGTACTAAACACAGGGAAGCAAGTCAGGTGTCTACTGCAATGGTCCAAGCATAAAATACCAGGGACTGAACCATCGTAGTGACTGTGAGAACACAGAGGGAGGAGCATGGTCAACAGGTATCTACACAGTAGCTCCAGCAGAACTTGATGTACTGGATGGATGTGGGGACTTAGGGAGAGGGAGAGGGCAGTGTCGGCTGGGTGGATGGTCAAGGCCATTGCTGCCTCTCTTTATTAGAACTCAAAGACAAACAAACAAACAAAAAAAACCACAACCCAAACTCACTGCCATCAAGTTGGATCTGACTTATAGCAACTCCTCCTTAGGTTTCCGAGGTGGTATCACTCTGGAAGTAGATTGCCCTCTCTTCCTCTGGTGGTGTAATGCCTAAGGTATTTTACCACTAACCAGAAGGCTGGCAGTTCAAACCCACCAGCCACTCCTCAGAAGGAAGACTGGGCAATCTACTTCCGTAGTGATATTGCCTCGGAAACCCAAGGAGGGGTCGCTATGGGTCGCATCCGACTCAATGGTAGTGAGTTTGGTTTTTTACTAGAGCTGGTAAGGTCTAAATCAAAACCAATCCCACTGCCGCTGACGTGATTCCAACTCACAGCAACTCTACAGGACAGGGTACAACTGCCCCATGGGGTTTCCAAGGCTGGGATCTTCAAGGAAGCACACTGCTTCATCTTCCTCCTGTGAAGCAGCAGGTGGGATCAAACCACTGACCTTTTGGTTAGCAGCTGAATGTCAATCACTGTGTCACCAGAGCTCCTTGGTAAAGGCTAGAGGACTAGAATTGGTAAAGACCTTGGAGATAATTGAATTCAATCTCTCTCCACACAGCTTTTTCTCTGTGGAATTCCTAATCTGTGGGCATTTGGTTTAGGTTTGATTACCTCCAGTGACAAAGAACTCATTACATCTCCTTTGGATAAATCAGGCTGATCTATGATAATTTCTTCCCCTAATATAATTTAAAATGTTCTAGTAGGGAGTCAGTGTCTTCCTTACACCTTGGCACCATCCCAGGATATAACAAGGAATGGGGCAGCCTTACCTCATTAAATTCAGGATTCAAGGTTTTCTTCTTAATTTGAGTCTTATGTTTGGCCTTCTTTCCCATGTCTGGTTTCAGCCAGCTGAGAGGAGACAAAAGAGGCTGCTTGCATGATGTTTAATGAGCAAGAAATGTCGCTTAAAGACTCCCAAAGACTCCTCCCAGCGCTCTGATAGACAAATTGAAAGTAGGTCTACATCATTGATGCCCGATACGTACACTGTAGGTGTATTTAACCTCCACACAAAGCCTACGTGCTAGAACTAGGGCCACCGCTTTGAGAGATAAGGAAACGGAGGGTCCAGAGAGGTTGAGACATGTGCATCAGGTCACACAGCTGGGAAATGATGGACCTGGGATCTGAACTCAGCTCTGCTGCTTCTGGAGTCTGTGCTCAGCAACCACCTCCTCTCAATGCATTAAATTGAGAGCCATGGCCGGTGGTGCCCACCATCTATTGCCCCTCAGGCTGCCACTGAGTCCTGGAAAGGTGCTGGATGGGAGAGGGATGACAGGGAGCGTTATTTAAGCAAAACGACTTGTGTGTGGCTGGAGTTCATGGCATGCAGGAGCTTTTTTCTTTCTCGGACCATATAGGAAATAAAACTGAAGCTGCTCTTGGAAACTGAACTCACCCCCAGCATGTGTGTCTTTTATTAACTAAATCCTTACCGGAAGAAAGTCTGGAGGGAAACCCCTCTTGTTTTTCAGCTGAGGAGGGCTTAGGAGCAGTACTGCTTCCCATTGTCAGAGGCTGGGGGTGGGGTGAGGGGCATCTCTCTGACTGGAGAGCACATTAATAAGCACCTTTGCCCTGAGCAATGTTAGTGATGTCATGACTCGTCATCACAATCACAAGCATTTATTGAGCACTTACTATGGACCGGACACCATGACAATGCACCTCTCACATCCAAGTGCAGGATGTGAAACTGACTGAGCCGCGGGGCCCTGAATTCACCCCCGTGCTCCCAGCCAGTGATACTGAGGCATCAGTAGGGATACTCCTGGGAGATCCACAGCATCTCCATGGTGGCTCTGTGCTGCAGGATTCCACGATGCCTGGCTGAAACTTCCATAAACGGCTCTGCCATCCACGAAGCTTCCTTCCCAACCTTCCTTCCTTCCCCTTCTTGTCTGCTTGGGGTCAGACCTGTACCACAGCCTCTGAGCTCCACCTGCCTCCTCTCTTGCTGGCTCCCAGTTTCCCCTCACAGGCATTTCCCCCAAGAAATCTCTTGCATGTCTAATCCTGCCTTGGCCTTTGCTTTGCAGAGGACATGAACTAATACACAACACTATTCTCCCCATTTTACAGATGAAGATGTTGAGGCCCAGAGAGGTTAACCAAGAGCCCAAGGTAACAGAGCTAGAGAATATCAGAGACTCTCCCTGGCTGTTGTGCAAATAGTGAATGCACTTGGCTGCTAAGTGAAAGGTTGGGAAGTTGAGTCCACCAAAGGCACGTCAGAAGAAAGGCCTGGTGATCTACTTCCTACATATCAGCTACTGAACACCTTGTAGGACATAATTCTGCTCTGACACACACGGGCTGCCGTAAGGCAGAATCAACCAGCAACTGGTCTCAAAACTGGGATTCCAACTTAGGAGCATGGGCTCTCAATCCTATCTGGGACACACACGTTTTGCTCTCCAAAGGCAAGGAAGACTTATTGAGAGTACATCAGTTTCTATCCCAGGCACAAGCGTAACTGCTGTACATACTATATCTCATTTGAACCTTATGCCCACTCTTGGAGATGAGTGGAACTATGTATATTGTCTCTGTTTTACAAATGAAGAAACTGAGGCTCAGAGAGGGTAAATACTTGCTTGCAGTCACACAGCTAGCAGCTAGCAGAGAGAAGAGTTGAATCAATCCTGAGTTGATGAGTGGTGGCTATGAGAGAAGACACCTCAAAACCCCCAAGTCCAGGGCCCCAGCCACTGCGTTCTGGCCTCTGTGCCATGTGTGGGCCATGCCCATGTCCCTGGCCAATGACCGAGTGCAGCAGAGGTACGAAGGCAGGCCTGCTCCTAGGAGACAGGGGCTTGTGTGATAGCCAATCTTGTCTCAAGGACTCCCTGCCCAACTCGTCTCTGGGGCGTTCCATCCAGCTTCCCCTCTCTTCCCTTTCCTCAGTCAGATTCGCCCTGCAATCTAACAGCTCTCCCAGTCTCTTCAACCCCTTCCGTATTTCCTCTCACAGAGCCATCTCCCCAGAAAAATTCTTGCGTATTTAATCCCTCTGGCATCTTCTTCTCAGAGGATCTGTGCTAACACAGATAACCAAGTCTTTTTATTTTCCACGACTGAGGTTACTGGACTAACCCCAAAGTCTAAGGACTCTGAGCACTTCCAGCCTGGATCTGGGAAAAGGCAGACTGTGTCTTTGGCAGCAGGGCTCTGAGCTGCTGGAGGGACATGCAGCTGACTCCTGGGTGCCACAACCATGTTGACTGCCCTTCCTCCACTGAAGGGGACAGAGCACAAAGCTCCCCTCCCATATGGGCAAGTGATACAGCAATCTGACTCTGGAGATGCCACTCTAACTGGCAGTCCCAGGCCTCTGTCTTCCTGTGTGTTCTTAGGCAGGTTCCTTCCCCTCTCTGGGCCTCAGTGGACAGTGATCTGGGGGAAGCTCTCTGGTTTTCCCTCTCTAAGAATCTGGGTCCCCCACTAGGGGGGGTTCAGATACATTGACTCACAGCTTGACGAAGGGGTCTGAGTAGCCATTGGCGTCCATGGCGGCCAGGTGGACGCAGCGTATGATGCCCACAATGAGGCCTCCTTGCTGGGTGCTGTACATAAGGGACACTAGGATCTTGCCTCGCTCCTCGATGTCACCGATGCGCTCCACCTGCTGTAAGGGACCAAGGACCATGAGTGACATTAATTAGGGAAGAGGCTGGTGAGAGTGGGAGGAACCAGACTGGCTACAGTGGGGTCAGCACCAAGGACAGCGGCTGCAGCCCATTCTCCAGGGGGCACAAATGGAGCTTAGGACCCTGGGAAGGCGGAGGGCAGGGAAGACCAACGGGGCTAGTGTGAGGCGCGCGCACGTGTGTGTGTGTGTGGGGGGGTGGGGGGGGGGACAGTCGGCTTTACTTTGACTTGGACACAGATCAAGCCTGACACTGATCATAGGTTAAGTTTGATCCTGGTCACTGACTGACCCTGACTCTGACCAAGGACGGAGCCTTGACCCTGGCCCTAGACTGATCACTGCTCTCGGACTTCCCTGAGCCAACCCATCTCCTCACAAGCAGCACAGTTCCTGGGGTCACAAGAGAGGCCTGGATGGAGGGCCTGGGTGTTTGGTCCAACCACACCCCCTGCTGGACACAGCTCCAAGAGCCTGCCTTACACCTCCAGGTGGGGTGTGCCTCCTCTCCAGTGACGTGGGATTGTAAGCAGAGTCTGTCAACAAGGCTGACTCAGGGGTGCACTCCAGAGCCTCCCCCACCTCAAAGGCTTCATTCAAGGTGCAGAGGGTGCATACTGGTCTCACGTCCTAGAGCCTGGAGGTGAAGGACGGCTCTCTGGTGAACCCAAGGGCAGGTGGTTGTGACAGGAAGGGCAGGAAGGGCCAGGGAGGAAGAGAAGGGGGCTTCCAGACAAGGCAAGAGGTTGTATGGACCCCACCTGTGGCCTTCAGTACGCTCAGGACTCACCTCCTCCTCATACAGCGCCATGCCTCGGGCTGACCCAGTGGTCCCAGCACGCTTCATCTTTGAAAAAGCAAACAGAAAAAAAAAAAAAAAAAAGCAGCATTGTTTATAGGTTCACCTTCCTAAACAAGAAGGACCAGAAGCCCCTCACTCCTCATTAGTATCCAGCACCTTGATGGTGGGTTCTCCAAGCTCCTAGGGTCCCTGCTTCCCTTCTAGCTAAAATGTATATAACACAAGCCACAGGGCTAGCTAGCCATGTTAATGCACAACCACTTATGATATAGAGGCTATGACCATCCCCTGTACAGACAAGGACACTGAGGCTCAGAGTGGTTAAGCCACTTGCTCACGGTCACACAGTCAGTAAGTGGCAGAGGACCCCCATGGATAAAATGGATAAGATTTCATCTGCTCTGGCTCCAATGCCATGGGAGCTGGGGTCTGCCCACAAGGCGCCTTCTTGCCCCGAGGCTCCTGAGGTCCTTCTGCTGGGTTCTAAGGGTCTGGGAACCTCGTTTGGTTAAATTCCATTCGCCTGTTATACCGAAGAAGAAAACTGAGGTTCAGAGAGTAGGGGACTGTGCTTACAAGGCCCCAGTCCTCAGTGGGGTTGAGAGCGGAAGAGGCCTGGGCAGGCGGATGGCAAAGAGCAGCAGGTCAGTAAGTCCTGTGGCAGCTGCAGCCTCTCGCTGCCCTGTGCCACCCCAAGCTTGTGCCCACTGCAGCAAGACGGGCAGACCCAGGAGCCGAGGGCCTGGGAGGGGGCCTGGGCCCTGGCCTGAGAAACCTTGCTCATTGAGTGAAGAGAGGAATAGAAGCCTGGAGAGCCAACTGTTAGCAGGCAAAGCCCCTAGGAAGTGTTTGCGCCCAGGGTTTTCTGTAATGATCTATTTGGAGCCTGGCATTTGGTGTGAATGCGTACTTGCAGTTTTCCTCATTGTGACCTGTTCCCCTGCCTGCACTATGGGAACATGGCGTGACACACGGATATGCCATCCTTGCGCCGGTCATCTGGTGGCAGGGTGTGGCAGGTTTCCCCTTCAGGATCTCCCAAGGCATCCCTGTGGGGAGCTGGCCCTGGGCCCAGGGGAGCAGGGATGCAGGAAAGGGGTACTGCAGGAGGGCTGGGGTCCAGCACAGCCACTGCCTAGTGTGTGACCTTGGGCAGCTCCTCCCCATTCAGGGACAAATCTGTCCCATTTGTAAAGCAAGCACAGATTGGGTGATCTCAAAAATACCTCTTTTAGGGTCTCATTCTCCTCCATAAGTCAGAATCTCCAAGGAAGAGCTCCACAAATCTTAGTTTGCAAAGCTCTGGTTTTAAAATCCACAGGCGATTCTGAACCTCAGCCTGGTCCATGCTCTTTCACAAAGGGTGAGAACTACATCTAGTAATGATGACAACAATAACAACGGTTCTAATGCTTTACATGCATTATCACACTTAATTCTTACATTTATCACACTTATCCCCATCGTACAGCTGAGAAAACTGAGGCCCAGAGAGTGTCAGTAATTTTCCTCAGGTAATACAGTAAGTGGCAGAGCTAGGATTCAAACCCAGGCATTCTGGCTGCACAATCCATGCTCTTTAGTATTACCCTACACACTTACTCCTCACTCACTATCTCGTTATCTGACACTTTGCATTTATGACAAGATTAAAAAATCTATTATCCAAAGATTTTGCACATTAATGACGTACAGCTGGCAATAATGAATGCCAAGGAGCGAGGGGAGAGTAACGCTGCCTGTGACGGTTAAGGTTATGTGTCAGCTTGTCCGGGCCATGAATCAGTTGGCTTGACAGTTACGTAATGATATCACTTGGCAATTATGTAAGATAGCAGTCATCCTTCATTTTGTAATCTGATACGATCACCCTCCATTTCTGCATAACGCCGATTTTCACATAATGACCTGCTCTTTGGAACCTGACCATGTTGACTAGTGAGGGGAGGGTGAATTGCCTTCGGTCTGTCTGTCTGCTAGAGGATCTAGCAGGTGGGTATTGTTCCCATAACACCACCACTTAGCAGCTCACAGGTGTCTATTATTCTCCAGGTTCTGTTCTGATTATGTATTTAATTCCCCACAAGCCTCCTATGAGGCAGGCAATGCAACAATGCTCATTTACAGATAAGAATACTGAGGCTTACAGCCATTCATTCCCCTGGCAAGGGCTCTGAATGGGGCTTTGAACCCAGGTTGGCCACAGTGCCCTTCCCAGTTTCACCAACAGGATCTTGACATTTGGAGAGGTGATGTAAGCACAAGGAGGGTCAAAGGCAGAGCCAGGAGGCAACCGTGGTTGCCGTGGCCTGGAACCTTCACCCTGTGCTGTCAGACACCCTGTGGATCTATGTCCCTTGTGCAGATGCAGAGGAAGGCACCCCCCAACTCCTCACCCTGCAAGAGTCAAGGGGCAAAGGCACTCACTGGGATGACCCGCTCCAGGCAGATGTTGAAGTTCTTCCTCTGGTTGGGCTTCAGCTTCTTGAGTGAGAATCTGGTCTCACCGATAAACTCATTGTGGCCGAACTTGTCCTCGTCACAGACAGAGATCCTGGGGTCAACAGAAGGGGTGGGAGAAAGAGAAGCACGCACAGAGCTCTTCCTGTGTGCCGAGGACCGTGGCGGTGCTGCTGGGGAGGTATGCTGTGCTTGGGAATAACACGGTTTCCTGTTTATTGAGCACTGGAGCAGTGCAGGAAGGAGCCCTGCTGGTGCAGTGGTTAAGTGCTGGCTGTTAAGCGAAAGGTCAGCAGTTCAAGCCCACCAGCCACTCTGAAGGAGAAAGATGTGGTCGTCTGCTTCCATAAAGATTATAGGCTTGGAAACCCTATGGAGCAGTTCTACTCTGTCCTCTAGGGTTGCTGCGAGTCACAATTGACTTGATGGCAATGGGTTTTGTTTGTTTTTTGTGGGGCTAGGTAGCTTTTAAGGAGCTCTAGTGGTGCAGTGCATAAGGCATCTGACTGCTAACCAGAAGGTTGGTGGTTCAAACCCATCGGCTACTCCACAGAAGGAAGACTGGCAATCTACTTCTGTAAAGATTTACCACCTTGGAAACCCAATGGGGTTGCTATGAGCTGGAATTGACTTGATGGCAGTGGGATAGGTACCCTTTACTGCTTTATTTACTGCAGGGTAAGTCGCGTGTGGTATAGTGTACACATCTTAAGCTCATGGCTGTATGACTTTTTTCCGTATTCACACTTACAGGAGCACCCCTCAGATCAAGAGAGATCATTCCAGCCCCCAGAGACCCCTAACCATCCCTCCTAGTCATTAGTTCTGTTAAAGATCATCACCGCCCTGACCTCCAGCCCTACAGATCCATTTGTCCTGTTTCTGACCTTCCTACTGATGGAAGCACACAGTATGTACTGTTTCATGACTGGCTACTTCGGGTCCACATTATGTCTGCAAGATTCATCCAGATATAGAGTAATGTGTTCTTTTTATTACATGGAATTCCATCATTCAACATATACATACCACTTGCGGCATGTGCACTTTTCTAAATGGATGATTCACTGAAACAATTTTTTTTTTTTTTTACTTAAAATGCTATTGTAGCTGGTGGGAATGATGTGCTTGGAATAGTCAATTTGAAAAGCAGTTTGCGTGTCTTGTAGAAATTGAAAAACAAAATAAAACAAAGCGACCCACATATTCTATGATCCAGAGCTATTTCCTTCTGAAGGAAATACTCCTGTGAACACCAGGAAGTGTGAAGGCTACTTGCTGCAACGTTGGGGTAACAGACAAAAAGTTGCAAACACTCTGCATCTCCATCAGTAGGGAACTGACTAGGTAAACTGGTAAACAGCTACGTAAAATTTAAAAACATGCAAAACAATATCATTTTTTTTTTAGAGCTACATAATTATGTCGCTGGAGTATAAAACAAGTTCAGGAGTGACAAGCACAGAATTCAGGCTGGTAGCACCTGGGCGAGGGAAGGAACACGGGGCTGGCAGCTTCGGCTTGCATTTGCAGGACAAACACAGCAAGATAATCAGGTTTTCTAAGACTGAGTATTGGTAGCTCAGGGGCCGGGAGTGCACGGGAGGGAAGGACACAGGGAAGAGGTAACCAGAGGGAAGAAGTGGGAAGAGAGCTGTTACATAGTGGGAAGTTGTAGTCAATGTCATGAGACAAAGTGTGTATGAACTGCTGTATGGAAAATGAATTTGCTCTGTAAACTTTCACCCAAATCACAACAATTGTTTTTTTTTAAATACTGAATATTGGATTCATGGATGTTTGTTATAGTATATTCTGTACTTTTCTGTATATTTCTAATATTTAAAAAAAGCTGTGATCAATCCATTCTGTGGAATATTCTGAAGCAGTTAAAACTTAAAATACAACACAACGCACTGCCATCGAGTCAGATCCGACTCATAGTGACCCCTCTTTGGGTTTCCAAGGTGGTATCACTATGGAAGTAGATTGCCCAATTTTCCTTCTGGGGAGTGGCTGGTGGGTTTGAACTGCCAGCCTTCTGGTTAGCAGTCAAATGCCTTAGGCACTATGCCACCAGCGTTCCCAGTTAAAACATAGATAGGTCTAAATGCCTTCTCATGGCTATAACTGCAAGATATATTGTCATGAAAAAAAAAAAATCAAGTTCGAGGTATATACAGCATAATACTATCTCTGTTTTAAATAATACATATATAAATACATAGATCTGGTGGCATTTGACTGCTAAGAAGGCTGGTGGTTCAAACCCACCAGCCACTCCTCGGAAGGAAGATGGGGCAATCTACTTCCATAGTGATACTGTCTCAGAAACCCAAGGAGGGGTCGCTATGAGTTGATCCGCCTCAATGGCAGTGAGTGAGTAAGTGTGTGATATCTGTAGAGATATGTGTACAGATATATAGATGCATGTGTGTGTGTGTGTATATATATATATATATATATATATATATATATATGTTTGCATGTACATATACATGTCCTGTTAGGATGTGCACATATATACACACACATACATTCATAGAAGGAGAAAGGAGACCCAGGCTGGGAGAAGGGTACACACTTAAAGGAGCTTAGCTTCTTCTGTCAATTTTTACAATAAGAGTATGTTCATTATTACATGTATAATTTAAAATGCAGTTTAATACAACATTGTTGAAGAAAATGAAGTGGTATCAACACATTGTTAAATGAGGCAGGTAGGTTACTAAATAAGATATTCCGTTTTTGTAAACACTCAAGTTTAAAACAATTATCTATGTACATACACATATATGTGCATACATATACACACACATACAGATGTCTACAATCAAGATGTTAACAGTTAACCATTCCACTTATCTGTATTTTCCAAAGTTTCTACCAGAAACATGGACTGTTTTTGTAGAAGGGAAAAGGAAACAGACAGTGAGGCAGGGACCTTTTGAAGGAGGGACCCTGGGGCTGCCCCTGCCTCAGTTCCTCCGGCCTCAGCCTCCTCTTGCCTCCCTCCACACCCATCCCCTGGTGGTACCTGAGGGTCTTCCTCTGCATGTCCTCGTCCGTGATGCCGTGATAGACAAGAGTCTCATTCCAGATAGGGTTCCTTGTGTTCCGTAGGGTTTTTGTCCGAAGCTTGTTGGACTACAGCCCAGAGAGAAGGACAGACAGACAGACACTGCCTCAGTGGGGAGCCAGCCCTGGAGCTCATCTTTTGGGCTGATTTGGGGTGAGTGACGCCTTCCCCCCCTGGAGTGTCTGAGGGCTCAGTTCATCCAAATGCATTTTCTCAGAGAGGGGGTGACCACCAGGGCTAAGGGTATAGACAAATAGATTAATGCCTCACCCTGACCCTCTCCCCCAATCCCTCCACTCTCTGGTCCACCTCCTTGAACCTACAATTAAGATAAGAAATCAAAGATAGCTTCTTTCCAGAAAAAATATTAAAGTCCTTGAGAGTCACTCATTCGTAGGCAGTGAAGGTTCAATTTCTGGGGCATTAGGGGGACATTGTTCCTCCAAATATCACCCTCCAACGCTTGAAATTCCTTAAATGGGACAAAGTTTTTCATTTTATTCTAAGAGAGAAGGCTGGAAATGCAGCTATACCCAGAATGGACGGTCTGCTGATGAGTTTGGTTTACATTAACACAAATAACTCACACCTGATTCTTTGGCCAAGCAGGTCTGGGCTCAGGAGGGGGCAGAGGGGAGAGTCAGAAGCAGGGGTGACCAAACAGCTGATAATTTGGCCAGGTGCAGGTGTGTCTTTGATCCACACAAAGAAACAGTGAGGGGGAGAGAGGAGAAAGGGGGAGAGAGAGAGAGAGAGAGGGAAAGAGAGAGCGAGAGCGAGAGCGAGTGCATGTGTGCATGTGTGTGCTCATCCGTCTTGTTTTACGGCACATTGGATGCCTGCAGATATTTTTAGCAGGCATTTCCCCAACATGTGCTCTGTCACCTTTGCTTTTAGGACACGCATGTCAAATGAACGCGGGAGCCCTGGCGGCACAGTGGTTAAGTGCACCAGCCACTCCATGGGAGAAAGAAGTGGCAGTCTGTTTTCATAAAGATTACAGCCTTGGAAACCCTATGGGGTAATTCCACTCTGTCTTCTAGGGGTAGTGTGAGTTGCAATCAAGTTGATAGCAATGGGTTTTGGGAAGAGTTTATTCAAATTAACACAACAAAGCAAAAACAAACAAACAAAACAAACTAAGAGGGCACGCTTCCATTTCCAGCCACTCCATTTCCAGCCACGTGCAGTGGCTGCACCAGTCCAAAGAGAGGGAAGCACATCCCACGGCCCCTCCCTCAGGCACAGGGAAGACCATCAGGGGAGCTGGAGGGGGAGGGGCCGCAGCAGGAGCACATCCTCTAAAGTGCTCAGACCTAAATCTGGAGAAAGTTGTTCATTTCGATGGAGAGATGAGAGGGTCTGGCTGGGGCATGGATGGACCTGGGTGGGGTGGGCGGGGGAGGGTAGACCATATGCAATACTGGGAGCCACTGAAGGTAGCTGAGCAGGTGAGGGGCCTGTCAGGGCACCCGTTTCTCTCAGGTTTCTGAGTTGCAGAAGGGGGCAGACCCTGGCCCTTGAGCAAGAGTGAATCCCGGACCACCTCTTCCCCCTTATAAGGGCTTTGCTGCACACAGGGCTATTTTAGGCTCTGAGCTGAGAACCTTGGGCCCCTGCCAAGGCCTGTGTGCCCAGCTTGCAGAGAGGCGTGGGCCATATGGTACCTTGCTGGCTCCTGGCAGGAGATGCAGCTTAACATAGGGATCAGCCAAGCCATTGGAGTCCATGGGCTTCAGTCCCTGCAAAAGAAGGAAGCCATGGTAGACGGCATCAGCTGTCAAAGGCAACAGCCACAGGCCCTGGCACCTATCCCCCCCAATGGTGCCCTGTGGGCCTCCTCTTCCAAGCAGAGAGGAGGAAGACCAGAATTATGGAAAGAGCCCTAAAGTCAGGCAGACAGGGTTCAAAGCCCGGCCTTGCCACTTTCTGGCTGTGTGACCTTGGGTAGCTCTTAACCTCTCTGAGCCTCAGTTTACTCATCTGTCCAATGGGATGAGAACAGCACCTACCTCAAGGGATGTTGAGATTTAGCTCTGATACCCCCTATAGAGTGCTTTGCACCGTGTCCAGCATGTGGTAAGCGTACCACTGAAACTCAACTGTTACTGCTAGAGAGGTCTCCAAATAGCAGGGAGGGGGGAGAAGGTGGGGCTGGGCACACCGAGGCATAGCGGGGTGAAGTAACATCCCTCATATCACTCATCTGGGAAGTGACAGGGAGAACCCAGGGAGGCTGGTTCCTGAGTTCATGCTTATTCTGCAATGTGGACCAGACTTTTAGCAGGGGGACCCGGGTCAGTTACTGCCTTCAGCCAGCTTCTTAGGGTCTGGGGCTGATTGGCTCACTGAAGCCTGAAAGGAGATGTACCCGCCCCCTCGTATGCCTTCCCTGCCCCCTCAGGAGCCCCTTGTGGTCTTCCTGGTGCCTGCACCAACAGGCCCCCAGCTTGGCTACCACTCCAGCCAGACTGCCACGTCAGTAGGAAAAGCCAGGCAGGCACTGGGATGTGCGCATGTGTGCATGCACGTGTGAGTGTGTGGACACGCATGTGAGTGTGTATGCACGGGATAAGGGCCATTCGTAGCCATGTCTGCTGTCAAGTCAGGTTGTCATTACCCCCCTGGCAACACCTCCACAGTCCCCTCCTGGGTAGATCCTGGCTCTGCCCTGGAAGCCTGGTGCTTCAGCCCCTGGGAGGCAGCTGGATTTAAGTGAAATCCTCTGGGATGGTCCCCAGTGGAAGTCCTCCCCCAAAGGAAGATGCTGTGGCCAGTTCTTGTCTTCTTCTCATCACCGTCACTGTTACAGATGGACCCGGCCATGGCACGAGGCAGGCCTGGTGAGCCCCCTCCCCACATCTCCTGGAATTATCAGACTAGCCTGAGTGGTCCCTAGCATGGCCCGCACCCACCTTGGCCTTGATGATGGTACAGTGTAGGGAGCTGTTGTCCTGGTCATAGAGAAGGCTGAACTCCAGGGCGCCCAGGGTGGCTGCAGCAGGCAGAGACCAGAAACCAGAGGATGTCTGTTCAGTCATTCAACAAGCATTTGCAGAGCGCTTCCTCTGTGCCCAGCCTGGGCTAGGTAGGCACGGAGCCTCAGAGGATGGAGACTCGGGACCCCCACCCTGATCGACCTCTTCTTCTCTGGAGCCACCTGCACATCAGTGGTCACTTAGCCATGCAATTGGCTGTTAATGACACCCTGTCCTGTCAGAGTGACAGCACCATGAGAGCGGGGTGTTAACTGTACCACCCGGGGACTCCAGATGCCTAGTAGGTGTTAAACAAACACCTTTCAAATATAGAAACAAGTGAGTGAGGAGACAGGCTTGCAATGAATCACTGTGATAAGCTAGTAACAGGGACAGGCGTGAGGATGGGAGGGGTCATCTCTGCTTGGTGGGTAGGTAAAGGGGCATGGAAGGCAGGTGGAAGGAACCATGGCCGGTGGTCCAGGGGGAGGATCAAATCCTTCTGAGGAGTGGCTGGTGGGTTTGAACTGCCAGCCTTCTGGTTAGCAGTCAGCCACCACGCCACCAGAGCTCCCGGGGGGAGGATCAGCATGAGGAACAGCGGAGAGGAGGGCTGGGCACAGAGCATTCTAGAGCCGAAAGGCCTGGGGCTGACAAGGCCGGGGTGGATCCCATGCCTTTCCCCTGAGACTTCAGATCCCTAACCCCTGGGAGAGCCTGGGGACAGAGGGGCGGGGCTAGACCTTTCCCCAGACCTGCCTCCCAACTACAGAGGAGTGTGTGGCTGTCAGCCCCTCCACTCTCTGATGTGGGAGCTTGGAACCTGGGCCTCTGTGTCTGTAAAGCAGGAACGGTCAGAGCAGCTATTCTCAGGGTTGTTGTGGAGATGAAAGGAGCAAACGCACATTACACACCTGGAAATGCCCCGTACAACATAAGTGCTTAGTAGGTGGTGACTGTCATCGCCCCTGCTGTCCCTGTCACAGAACAGTAATTCTTGGTGTGTGCTTGGCACTGCATAATCTTCAGAAGCTCCAGTTTACAAAGCGCCCCCCTCAGCCCCACGTGGGAGGTGGTATGTGCTTCCCACTCTACAATGAGGAGAGGTGGTACAAGGGGTCAAGGCTATGCCATTGGCCTTTGGTCCGTTTCTTCTGTGCAGGTCCAGTCTCTCCACTTTACTGGGAGCTCTTGGAGACCCCACCCCAGCCCTAGTAACACATATTGCATGCACGTGCCCATCCGTGCCCGCCTCCAGCTCACAAAGGCTGCCCCAGCTCTTCCCTGCTGCTCCCAGGCACACATGGGAGAAGTCTACTGGTGTGTGTGCTGTCTCTGTGTGTGCATGCATGTACTTGTATGTGTGCTTGTGCGCACACATGTGAGTGTGTACATGTGTGAGTCAGTGTGCACATGCATGTACAAGTATGTATGTGCATTTATGTTTATGCGTGTGCTTGTGTGCATGCATGTGTTTATGTGCCTGTATGCATGGGCATAGGCGATGTGAATGTCCACAGGTAAGTGTGAATATGTGTGTGTGCATGCACATGCATATGCACATGTAAGCATGTGTATGTATGTGTGTGCATATATGTGTGTGAGTTGTGTGTACATATATATGTGTGGCAGACATGGCAGCTGATTCCCTGGATAATGGCACTTGGGGTGTCTGTGGGAGAGTCACAGGGTGGACAGTAACCAAGTCACTGAATGGATGGGTGCAAGAGGAGACAGATGTCCAGCAAATTAAAAATCATGGTTACAGGTTATTTTCTGAAGACATAATTGAAAAGTGTTTGGAAGCTATTATGATACGTATCCTCAGAGTGTACTTGCTGGGTCCTGTGGTAATTCTGTATTTAACCTGAAGAAGTGCCAACCTGGGCACTGAGAGTGTACAGTGCCACTGAACTGTACACTTTCCTGTGGTAAAAACGGCAATTTTATGGTATGTGTGTTTTACCACAATAAAATAAATAGCAACCTATTCTGGTGGTGTAGTGCCTAAGACATTTTGACTGCTAACCAGAAGGCTGGTGGTTCAAACCTACCAGCCACTCCTTGGGAGGAAGACTGGGCAATCTACTTCCATAGTGATACCACCTC